AGCCCGGAGCCGGGCAAGGAGCGGCTGCGCTTCCAAGTAAGGCCTGGGGCGGTGAGGGCACAGGAGAGCCCGGGGATGCGGGTGTCTTTCTGGGGCCGGGCCCTGTGACTGCTTCGGGTACACTTCAAGGTGTGGCGCTTCCTTAAGCGTGGCCACTTCCGTGTTTCCGAAACAGCCAATGCCCGCGACAGGTGTCTTCCCCCACAGCAGTCTCTTGTCCCGACAGCCTGACTTACTCGCCGCGGCTGCTCCACAGGCTGGCCAGGGCAACGCCCTTGGGACATTCACAACCCTCATATTTGCACTGTAAACCTTGGGCAGTGGGCGTGTAGGCCAGTCCTGACCGCGTGGTTGGATGACCTATGAGTACGCACAACTGAACTTCGGGAGCACTTGCAGGCAGGAGAGTCGATTCCGAAGAATCCCCCTCTCCCATTTCTGCACTAGATGTGGCAAAAACCCTTCAACTGCTGAGATTCTGGTTAGCAATTCTGACTTCTCCTTTACAAGCTTCCAGGCTATTGGAAAGCTGGAGCTCCTAAAATGCCCCTTCCTAGGAATTTGCTTTGCTTTTAAAAAGCACCCCCACCTCAGAAATCCAATACTGCGAAAGCATTTGGACTGCTCAGTATTGCCGCCCGAGAGCAGCAGGCCGAACCTTTAAAGGGCTGGGGCACGCAGAGGGCAGTTGTGACCTAGCAGAAGTGGAAAGGCACAAGAGGTGGTAAGAAGCCCGAGGGAGTCCTTCGCGGTCTCTTCCACGGCCATCACAGGCTGGTATTCCTTTTGAGGGGCGGTGTTGGTGGCGGTAGGCTGATTGTGTGAGGAGTGAATCGAGAGGCCAGGGCTTTCCAGCGTGGCCATGCACGAGCTGTGTGTGATCTTAGGCCAGTCATGACCTTCCTGGACTTAACAGTCAGTCTCACAGGTGAGCAGACTGAATTAAGTGCTCCCCAGAGTTCCTTCCAATTCTAAAAGCCTAACTCTAAAAACGTGTGTATAACTGGTTACTCACTGGGAGGGAAGAAGGGAAGTTTAGATAACACTACTTTTGTTCATATTGAATATGAATTATGGCTTACGTACAATTTCGGTTCCTGGCACTACTGTTTGGGAATTAACTAGCAGCATGAAGAATGTGATCTTGGTGAACCCCTTAAAGTTCCTTGGATGTGGAGTCTTATTTTTCTTCAGCTTAATACCTTTCATGTGTGCATAGTCTAAGATCAGGCTTCATCTTAAAAGGCCTCCCTGAAGAATCCCAAACTTCAGAGAACTGTTTAACTATTATGTCCCTAATTATTCATTTATCAGCCAGCCTTATGAACTGAGTTAATCTGGTATATGAACTTTAAGGCCCATGCTTGCTTAATTGTTTGACTAGGCTATTAGCTCACTTAATTACTGTATTGAAGAGGCATACCCAAACCTGACCCTGCTCTCTTTCATGATCTGGAGTGAAGTTGACAGTTTCAGATATCAAGTAGATCCTTCCCAATGTCTGGAAATGAAGGATAATTCAGGTCTTATGTTGGTTAAACTGACATATCCTGTTGTTCAGTTCTTAGAGCAGAAATATGGCTATTACCACTGCAAGGACTGCAACATCCGCTGGGAGAGTGCTTATGTGTGGTGTGTACAGGGAACTAACAAGGTAAGAAATACCAGGTGACTGGCATCTTCTTGCTAAAAGTGTCAAGGCAATTTTGTTTTATTTTCTTTCTCATCACAGGTTTACTTCAAACAGTTTTGCAGAACTTGTCAGAAGTCTTATAACCCTTACCGAGTGGAGGATATCACCTGTCAAGTAAGTCAGATGTTTTGCATTTTGTCTGACCTGGGCTGTCGTAGAGGTTTTTAGTGTAGTTTGAGTATACTTCCAAAAAGAGGCCAGGTCCCCAGACCTTAGGTTTCAACTGGCTTTTGTTAGGAGTGGTGGAAACAATACTCACCTGGGAAACGGGGCCTTGGTGTTAGCTTCTTTCTGCCCTTGCAAATCTTGCTCTTGTTAACCTCTTCTAAAACTGTTAACCTCACTTGCAATACGGAAGAATACTTGCCTTACTTGCTACTTAGTCAGATATATAAGAAAATTAACAAAAACATGCTTGTCAGCTAACATGAAGTAGTCAAGGTTGACTGTTTTACTGAAATGCCTCTTAGGAAGCACAACCTCAAGGTATTGAGTCTAAGCACATGGGCTTAGTTTGTCTTGCCTGAAAGCTCACAAAGGGGGACAGTTTAAGATAAATCTAAGTTGTCTAGCTTTATGGGGAGTTGACTGTAACGGTAAGCAAGCAATATGTTAATTAAGCATTGCTTAAGCACTTGCTTGCTATTAACTGTGCTAAGGGGCTTAGCTAATCTTTAAGAGGGAAGTGTCTAAATTCGCCTCTTACCACACAGCTAATGGAGTCTGAATTGCCAATTGAGACAGGCTAATCAATACACTTGACCCACGTTGGATATTTAGAAGCATTAACACCCTGGGGTGGTGGAGAGAAACTAGAATCACTTAGATCAGGGCCGGGCATGTTTGTAAAGGAGGATGCCTTAACCACTCTGCTCTTGGTGTTCGTTGTCAAATTCATCCCTGACTTGTTCTCTACCCTTCCTCTTAAAAAGTTGCAAAAGAAACTTCACAACTCATAATTGGATCTGATGCAATATTAGCAGCACTACAGCATGGTTAAACACCCACTATTCCTAGCCCTGTCATTGCTAGGTAGGTAGGGATGTAGAGGGAAAACAAGATTACTACGGGACCTTGCTTAGAGTGCATTCAATAAGTACTTGAATGGACTAGAGAAATGTTGAAGTCCTAGGAAATCACTAAGGGTTTATCTTCTGTACGCCCTTCTGTATTTTTTTTTCCCCCAGAGTTGTAAACAAACTAGATGTTCCTGCCCAGTAAAACTTCGCCACGTGGACCCTAAACGGCCCCACCGTCAAGATTTGTGTGGTAGATGCAAAGGCAAACGCCTGTCCTGTGACAGCACTTTCAGCTTCAAATACATCATTTAGGTGAAAGTCAGTGTTGCTGTGCATGCACTGATGGAGTAGATGAGTGAGCTTTTCCGTGCCTCTCCTCTCCACCTCTCCCTTCTCAAAATACGTCATGAAAGGCAGTGTATTCTGAAAAAGCCTTCAAATAAAGGTATTGCAACACAATTTATACATTGCATAAAATCTGTCTTTGAAAATAAAGTTTCAAGAGTGCTTGTCTTGTGCTAACAGTCTGGGCCTGTCACTTCGCCTTTATAAATGCTTGCTGATGGCAGAGAGTGGGCCAGGCTCTGAGTTAGGCTGTGGCTACTTGGAAAACAATTTAGTGGGGGCTCGTAGACGAGGTCTACTATTTAGGCAGCTCTGGAGGACTGAAGCTTAGAAGGGAGTTAACTGAATAAAAAGCCACCTAGAGATTGTGCCACTGCATTCCAGCCTGGGCGACAGAGCGAGACTCCGTCTCAAAAAAGAAAAAAAAAAGCTGCCTAGCTGTAACATTAAGGCATTCTTTTGGGAGAGGTGGAGGCAGAGCCATTTCTTGGTTGCATGAGACCGTTGGGAGGTTAACGGTAGAGTAAGAATGCTGAATGGCGGTGATGGGGTAGGTAAAGGCTTTAGTGTCCGGGTGACTTTAGGAGGTAAGCTACTAGGTAGAGGAAGGCTGGGAAAACTAACCTGACTGAGTAGTCAGTTTCACAAATGTGGCAAAAGTGGGGCTTGGAACAGGGTGGCTGTGGGCAAATGGCTGCTTTAAGACACTGAATAACCCATCAAGTAGACTTTGTGTTTCTTCAAAGCTTTTTTTTTTTTTTTTTTCTTAAAGTAGGCCTCCTAAATGTACTTATGTCAAGTTAGAGGCATAGGCCTTAGCCTTTGTCTTCACTGACTTGGTGCTAGTTGGGATGCCAGACTCTTAACTGCATCTAGTAGCTTCTCATGACAACACTGAGGCCCCACTGCCAGAATGCTCCTAGTTGAGGATGGGACTGAGTTTAGAGCCTCAAGTGCATCTGATGAAATTAAAGTTGTAGTATTGGTTTAATTAGAGAAACCATATAATTGGAACCATGTGCTAATTATGCCTCCAATTGTCTAACATCCCACTTAAGTGAACTCCTTACTACCTTAGGCCATAGCACTAAGTCTTAACATTCTTGGACACTTGTTAAAAGGGGCCAAAGTGGGTTTGAGGTCTCCATAGAATCTGTATCTCGAGGGGAAAGGCCCACCTGCATCGATGTGGACGGAGATGGTGCGTGTAAAATGCAGATTACTGGATACCTGTCCTACCTACATTTAACAGGCACCCCCAGCTGTTACTAATGGAATTGAAGCATGAGAACTTGTGCTCAGCAGAGAAGAGGTGGCATCTCATGGAGCTTCTAGTACAGCGGGCAGATGGCCACTAGTTTTTACATCAATGTAAAACCGAGGTTCTGACCTGTGATAAGGACAATCTGCTAAAGTGCCTCTGCAGTAAGGGACCTGACTTAGGTCAGGGAAACCCTGCCTAAAACCCAGCTGAGAATGACACCTCAGCTGAACTCCAGTTCAAATAAGTTGAATGAGGCAAAAATGGCGAGGGGAAAATTTCCAGATTAGGGCAACAATCTGCAAAAGCCTTGTGGTAGAAAACCACCAGGAGGAGGCCACAGTGGGAGAATACTCTGGAGGACATGCCAGGTGAATCTAGCAGTGCCAGACTGGAGGGGTGTTTTAGGCCTTCATTAGGAGGATGGTCTCTACTGGAGTGCAGGGGCTACTCACAGGCATTATCAGGGTACACCACAGCCTCAAGCTCCTGGGCTCAAGTGATCCATCCTCCTGGTTCAGCCTCTCAAGTGGCTGGGACTACAGGCACTTTGTCAGGCTGCACTAAAAAGTTTTAAAGGTATGCTGGAGATAGTAGGGCATGGTGACATATAGACTCACTTTTAAAAAATCACTCCAGCTATACAGTAGATACCTATAGATAAGGAGACTTGCAGGGACCAGATAAAGTGGTGGCAAGGCTAAAGAGAAATGACAAGAACTGGTGTGGGTAAAGGCGATGTGTTTTTTACTCGTTCTAACATGTTCCTGTTGTTTGGTTGGGGGTAGGTACAGGGGTAGGAAACCCATATATACTGTGGCATGCAAGTGATACATAATGTGATCAATAGCATTTGCTCAATGAATGAATTACATAAAAGGTACCTGCATTGAGTCCTAAGAAATTTCCACTGGCTATTAATATGGTTACATTGTTCTTTAATATTGCTTGCTATTTTCCTAACATAGCAGGTAACCCTATTTTTCAGCTGAGGAAAGTAAGGATCAGACTGTTTTACTTAGGGTGGGTGGGCATGCAGATACTCAACAAAGTGGCACAAAAACATGCCATTCAGATTATGGTGATTACATTCGAGCAATGAAAAGGCACTGCCAAACTCTTTATGTGTACAATCCAAAAACTTACAAGATGTGAATAGATTTTAAGACAGGTTGAGAGGTTAGAAGGAAATACTCCAAGATGTCTCTGGGTATCAAGAGAAGTAACTAGTTTTCTTCAAATTTCCTTTATTTTCTAAAGGAACCATGGATTACTTTGAAAAATTAGGGAAGAAAATGCTATACAATACCAATAAATGGATTTTAATACTGTCTGTCTCCTTTTGTTTAGGTTATCCTGGTGTTTTATGTGAGCAGTATTTACTCATAGGCCTGAATGAGGATCCTTACTCTTCTCTTGAGTCTTTTTCCAAGAAAGCATGTAATGATTTCCTAAATTTAAGGGAGGTTATGTGTTTTGCCACACCCTCTATTTTACATCACTAAAAGTAGAAAATATATTTTAAAATAAGAAATCCTGTGGTTTTGTTTTAGAAGCAGCATGAAGAAACTGCCAGATTGCTGCTTTTACTGTTGTCTTGTAAGTGTACTATTTAAAAATGATAACTGTAGTGTGCAAAAGAAAAAGGTTGTATGTAGCAAAAACTGGGCTCCAAATAGAACTAAATCAGGTAATAAATTAAGCACTGGATATATTTAATAAATACTAACTTGGGATTCAGAGGCTGAGGAGCAGAGAAGTGTAGGTTGGAGGCAAATGCTGTTGCAGAAGGCCATCCTCATGAATTTGTTTGCATCTTGATTGCTGGAGGTATATTCATTTTTATTAATAGACTTAGTTACATATAAATAAACGCAAAAAGCAAGTATCAACTGAAAGGTTTGGTTGGGTAGTCAACTGATTTTGTTCTTTTTTAAGGCAATTCAACGGGGTAACATTTGAAAGGTTTCTAAATGATGCACACTCTAATCATTCATTCTTTGTTAAAATACAACACAAACCAACAGCTACAATGCTTTTTATTTTTAACAAAAAGGATGTAAGGAGGGTGAGAAAAACAGGGGAGAGTAAGATAGGATGTAAAGTGTAATGTATCTCTGGACACCATCCCTCTCTGCCTGCCCCACACCCAAAAGTTTTAAATAATTTAAAGGATACCACTTACTTACAGTACCAGAACACCATCAAAATAATTGTCTTTATCAGGGTCCAAAAGTACAGTGATTATGAATGAGCCGTGACCAGATACGGAATTTTACTGGATATGTAACTGTGGTCAGCAGTCCAATGGTGTGCACAGTGCCTTCAGTTAATGCACTTGAGCATACGTAATTACATTTCTGGCAGGGTCCACACCCCCAAGAAAAGGTAAAGCTAAGCATTTCATTTCTACATTCTAAACTCTGGAATCACAGAGCCCAGTTTAAAAGAAAAGTCACAGTGGATCACAGTGGATAAGAGATGTATATAAAAAATACAAGGTGTTTCTTTCAAATCAGGAGTTGTGGGACTACATTCTTTTTTTTTTTTTTTTTTCTTTTCTTACAAAATGCGATTTAAAAAAGGGTAGAGACTCCAGTTCATGTTATACTACAGACTTACACAATGAATAAGTATACTGCATGTTTTGGTAGTCAGTCTTCAGGCTTGCTTTCATTTCCCCTAGCCCTAGGTTTCTTTCTTTAGGGTAAAACATGTGAGTCCTGAATAAACATATAAAAAATGCATTTGCAGCTCTTTTCTTGAATTCTGCAGACTTCAAAGCCTGCAAGTCATATATTCCATCATCAGTGACCACATTTTTTTCTTTAGCTTTGTACACCTATTCTTATATAACAGTGCATGGCACAAATGTACAAGAAAATACTGGTTTTAGTCTCTACAGTTTCTATATGGAGTAAAATAAGTTAACTTTTCTAATGAGAATAGCTGACAGGCAGCATACATCTTTATTTTACATTTTAAAGTCTCTGCAGGCATCTACTTTGGTTAGTTATCAACAATCGTAACATAAGCACTGATCAGAGAACTGAGCAGCATTCCAATAACGTTAACAGATATATTATTTCTTTTTGAAATACTGGGAAAGCCCAGTTTTAAAATATTATTAAAATGTTCTAACATTTACATACTATGAAGAGTTAGATCTAATAAAATAACATTTCTTCAAAAATAATCTTGCAGTGCTCTTTTAGGCATGCTCTGAGACGTCATAACCAAACATCCATACCTTGAAAATATCACATATCCACACATCCCAACTCACACACACATAATTCCTTATACAGACCAAAAAACAAACCAAAAAAACCCAAACCCTTATCCCACATACTGAAAAATCAATGGTTTTTGTAAATGAGTCTTGATGTGTATAGCTGACTGCATGTTCATCTGGATGATTAAGCATCAATTGCAGGTTAGGTTTTCGACTGCTAGAAATTCAAGCAGCTTTGCAGGTCTTCAGCTAAAATGAAACAGCCTTGATTTCAGCCTCATTTCACCCGCTTTTGGATGTTTCAGTATTGGAGGCCATTATTGCAAACATTCTTGGAATTCTTTTCTTTCCCCAGAAAGTAATGTATTTGTAGGCATCACTTTTAGCCCTTTTCTTTTCACGTAGGTTAAGTAATTAAAAAATTCCTTCTTCATACAGTTATTGTGGGAGATGTTGGCAGCTGTTAAAATACCAGATTTTTTTCTTTCAGATCTTTGTTTTTGATACAGTTTGACATTAGTTAAACTAAAAAGTAGATGCTGCCAGAAAGTTATCAGTGAATGCAAGGGTCCATAAAAGGTGCTTGGTTTAATATTCTTCATCATCTTCAGTTTAGTTTCTTTCCTAAAGGCCTGAAGTGTCTCAGAATCCAGTGCTCACCATATTTCCCATTGGTTTGGGCTGTGCTAGAAGTTGGTATGATTGCACCATGCGTAGAGATTCTCTTATTTCCAGATTAAGTTCCATCAGTTTGTAGTTGGCTTCTGACATGTCCAGGTTAGAGCCTATAACTGCAAAGCTTCCTGTCTGGCCCAGCGTCTGATGATGGAAATATATATGTAACAGTGTCTGCACAGGGTCATCTTCACAACTGCCAAAGATATCACTGGGCCAGAGAGATCTGAAAATACACAATAGTTTTTCAGTTCTGAGACTTAGGCAATTATTAGTTAAGACTAACTCAATTTAAGTTAAATACCTATAACAACAACATTTCCTTGTGAATAACATGATCTGTTTTAATATTTGAGCAAATATTACTCAAAGTACCACCTGAAAGTGAAAAGAAATCTAAAATTGGTATCATTTCAATGGCAACTGTTAAAGATACTCATGTTTTCCTTTCATAAAGACATGATATGGAAACAGCAAATTGAAAATGAAAACCTAGTATTACTAAACTTCCTGTCTAATTTAAAGGCATCACCTTTAAATCCTGTCACGTTTTACCTGAAAGCTTTGACTTGTACTACAGCTGATATAAATTCCTTATTTTTCAAAGTTTCAATTAAAGAATGAATGGCAGTTTCTATAGTAGTTTGTGCAGCTTTGGAAATGTCAATTTCTTCATTTTCGGAAACGGACTCAGCTTCTTTGAGGATACTTTCCAGTTGGGCAAGTTCCTCTGACATGTTGATGACCTAAAACAAATACATCTTTAAGGATCTATTCGTATGTTTGGTAACAAAAACATTTAGTTGGCTACAAGAATATACCTGATGGTAGTACCATTGTTGCTCTTATTTTAAAGAGTATTTAAAAATGTTTGCCTTGGAAGAAAGGGCAGTTAATATTTCAAGTACTCTATTCTGTAGGAGCAAATAAATTCCACCAAATAGTAGTTTTGAAATTAAATGTTCTTGATAAAGCAACAAGTTGTAATAAACAGATGTCTATATTGGTTTTAATATTACTACATTTTGGATAGTAAAAGTACATTTACTGTTATGGGGGATCATGAAAACTATGTGACAGTAAAGTCTTTAGATTTTAAAAGATGATTTACCCCAGGGTATTTATATAAATATAAATATAAATATAAATATATATATATATATTTTTACAGATTTAATGACTAAGAAATTAAATCATTTCCCCAGTAATAGTTTTATTACCAGCAGATGACAAGGGGGGAAAAAGACTAAAGTTAGCATCTTTGAGGCTATATTTTTTAACATGTTTATTCTTGTGTGCATTAATAGAACTATAACAATATGGGCTGGGTGTGGTGGCTTATGCCTGTAATCCCAGCACTTTGGGACGCCCGGGCAGTGGATCACCTGAGGTCAGGAGATTGAGACCAGCCTGGCCCACATGGTGAAACCCTGTCTCTACTAAAAATACAAAAAAGTTAGCTGGACGTGGTGGTGCACACTGGTGGTCCAAGCTGCCCGGGAGGCTGAGGCAGGAGAATTGCTTGAACCCAGGAGGTGGAAGTTGCAGTGAGTTGAGATCATGCCATTGCACTGTAGCCTGGGCAAAAGAGGGAGATTCTGCCTCAAAAAACAAACAAACAAACAAACAAAAACTATAGAAATATGAACAACATGTTAGGGGAGGTGGGTTGATGATACAGTTTTATGTCTGTATTGAACTGATGTGCTTTATTTGACTATTTTGATTTTCTGAGACAGGGTCTTGCTCTGTCACCTGTGCTGGAGTGCAGTGCTACAGTCACAGCTCACTGCAGCTTCTAACTCCTGGGCTCAAGTCATTGTCCCAGCTCAGCCTCCCAAGTAACTAGGACTACAGGTATGTGCCACCATCCCTGGCTTTTACTTGACTTTTGATTATAGATGATCTGTTTCTGCTATGGAAGCCTTTAAGGTCTGGAACCTTTTACAACTGCTGGGTATCTGCTGTCTTATTTACTCATAGGTCCTGACATAGCACATCATTAAAAAACAAATTATTCCTTAACTGAAGGAAAAAAAAGACCACTCTAAGTGACTTTTGACTTAAGCTATTCTAACAACTAATAAATGTATATTTTAAAAATTTTCTAGAATCAGTTACTGATGCCTAATACAACTGAATATTTACCTCTGCTTCATTTTTTATTGTATTTACTTGGTTGATAAGTTTACAGTAGGCCTGGAACAGAAGCAGCAATTGAAAATGCAATTTGTATAATCTTCGGCAGAGCTCCAATTCCTAGAAATAAATAACATTACATTAAATTTAGGTGTTGTTTTCTAGACAGCATATTTCCAATGAAAATTTATAGTTAAAATTGTCTTGTCGTTTATTTTTCTGCAGTAAGCAAGTTAATATGGTGTGAAGCTGATGAAAGGCAGGCGAAATATGCTTTAAAGGCAAAGATTAAAATGAAAACAAATATCACTGCTGGTTACATAATTCAGTTTTAATGTTAAGCACATTTTCACATTCTACAAATAGACTGTTTCAGCAGGCAATTAATAGGATACTTTAAAAAGGATTCATTAGAATTTAAAACTTTAAATTCATAATTAAAATAATCTACAAATGCAAAGACTTTTGCCCTCATTGAGATGTAGATCTCACTGCATTTATCAACAAATGCTTGATAAAGCAAAGTGAAACCGGATAACCGCTTACCTAAAAAGTAAGAAAAGCTGTCTTTTAAAGTGAGATCAGTTTTCTAAAGAAAACTACTTAGTAATCTCATTGAAATGAAACTATGAAATTAACACGTGGGCTGAGCATGGTGGCTCACGCCTGTAATCCTAGCACTTTGGGAGGCCAAGTCGGGCAGATCACTTGAGCTCAGGAGTTTGAAACCAGCCTGGCCAATGTGGTGAAACCCTGTCTCGACTAAAAATACAAAAAAAATTAGCGGGGCATGGTGGTGGGTGTATGTAATCTCAGCTACTGGGGAGGCTGAGGCAGGAGAATCGCTTGAACCCAGGAGGCAGAGGTTGCAGTGAGTCAAGATCATGTCACTGCCCTCCAGCTTGGGCAACAGAGCAAGATTCCACCTCAAAAAAAAAAAAAAAAAAAGCACTTTTTTAAAATTAAGAAATTTAAAAGGAGATATGTTTAAGAAAAAGGTGACTGCTAATTTTATGTATTTTAACATCTATTTTAATAGAACCAACATTTCATGGATTAGGGCTTTGCAAAACTGAAGCACATACTACTTGTAAAGTAGTCCATGACAAAACATTGCTAGGTCACAAATGGACAAATGGCAGATGAAAACCAGTTTGTCTGGCAAGGGTGAGTGGTCTATAAATCAAGACAGGTCACTTACTGCTAGTATTTCCATTTGCTAAGCAAGAAGGTGATCAGGTCACAAAAAATACAAAGAAAGAAAAAGACCAAGAATTAGTGTAAGAAATCATTTTAACTAGGGTCACAGATGTTCCAGGTAAACTGAAGAACATATATTTATACCCCAAAGAAAACTATATGAAGTTATGTCCAGAATAAAACTTTTTAGACATTTACTGCAACAATTCAGGGTGTTTTTAAACACTGCCAAATAATAAATTACATTTAGGCTATGACTTATTTCTGTGTAAAATCTACAATGAATAAAACTGAACTATTGTCATCTTGGCAAATTTGGCTATCCAGGTTTAAAAAAAAAAAACAAAACCCAACTGTAATAAAACTTACATTTGTAAACTGGAAAACTTATGATTAGAAAATAAGAAACAAATTAATTACTATTACTTCTCAGAAAAGAATTGGCTTATAATCGTACATAATAAATACTTATCCATCACCATCAAAAGATTATCTCTGGGGTGGCTCATTCCAGGCTTCCTATCCTTTATGGTCTAATTAGGTCCTACTTTGCCATAATTGGTGCTGAGCCACAGGGTGAAATATCAAAAGCAGATGCGTGTTCTAAATTGCATTCCAAAGGTACTTCAGTAGGTTTCAGAAACTTAACCCGACTAGGTTTGAATCAACATAACGTATGTAAAACACAGTAAAAATTTATGAACCATCTTAAAAACTATATGAACACATGTACAGCAACTGATCTGGTCTCATTACGAGGAGAATGACTTCTAATTAAAACAGCAATTGTTATACTGTAAATGTACCTTCTAAAAGTCATTCTTAAGCCTGCTTTTCTAAATACTTTCCTGTGAAGGACTGTTTTTCATAAAGTGTATTCCTATCAGTTTAGAAGGGATTTGCTAAATAAGCAAAGGTGAACTTTAGCTCCACGCTGCTTACCATAAATTACGTGGATGCTCATCCAGTAAACATCGGTTGAGCACAATCCAAGGTCAAGCATATTCTGTATCTAAATTTCTGAGGGTTTAGTTCATACAGTTTATTTCATATGGAAATTAACAATTTGAATTGTAAATACCTTTCCTCACTTCTATTAGCACAAATAAAGTAGAACTGATTCTACAAGCATATATGCATAGCCTCTACTTTGGGATGTAATGGAACATAAACTGCTGATAAAGTTTATGATCATAATTATAGGAAATAACACAAATGTAATGAATTTTACAGCTCTGAATTACCAGCAATTACTCTAAATATGCTAACAGGGCAGTTTTTGTGGATGAATGTGTGTGTGTATATATATGCACATTTTAAAGTATATTAAAATTTGCACATTCTCTTTTATTCATCTAACAAATATTTGACTGCTTATTATGCAAAAGACAAGACTGGTACACAAGGACAGATCGAGTTGCATAAAAAGGATCTTCCACCCTCAAAAAAGTTGAATATGAAAGGTGAGCTGAAATATAAATGAAAGTGTTAAATGTTCAGTTTCCACTTAGTAGAAAATCTCAAGCTATGTTAACTGACTTGGTCTTAAGATGGATATAATTTTCTTCAAGGTAGAGGGGATATAAAAAAAATCACTTAATATAAACACCTAGTTTTTGTAGGAAAAAAGGTTGCATTACTTGCCGAAGTGATGCAGTTAAACAGTGGCAAAGACAGAATTAGAACCAAAGGATCTAATTCTGGTCTAGAATTCCTTATCTTGATTTCTTTACATAGATGACTTCGCGGTTTCTTTTTAACATTAGTGCAGGATTTGGAGTCAGCCTGCCTAGGTTTCAATCTTGGTTTCACTATTTGCTGATTTTAGATAAATCAGCTTCTCTGAGCCTCAGTTTCCTCATCTTCAAAACCGGGATAATTAAAGCAACTACTTGACTGAGTTGTAAGGCTAAAGATAACGATAGAGGCTGGCAAATAGTTAATACTTAGCGAGTATACTGTTATTTTCTCAACACTGCAGTTTTTGCAAAACTTCAACTTTTTACTATAATAGTATAACCTAATAATAGTATAACCTTTACAGAGACTAGAAATTTGTAATAATATAACCAAAGGTAGAATATAAAAGACTGGAATTCTGATTTCAAATGGAAATAATTTTCAGTTGATGAATGTATTTTCCCCTATGAAGCTGCACTCCCATTAGAATAATTTGTAGGCCCTAACTTATCCTCACTTCAATGTATGTGTTTATGTATGTGCACCTTTCTAAGAAAATATAATGCTTTATTTTCACTCAGTCTTATATTAGAGAAAAACATTATAATTTATCCAATTCTAATTTTACCTTTAGTATGGATGTATTATATCACGTTATTCTTAGGGTTGCTTTCTTGACTAATTTATGTAACAGAAGAGCAGAATACTAACATGGAACAAATTTTTCTTTAAGAGGCACATGCAACTAAAAGCTGACCTGGGCTTTCCAGATATCCATCAAGCTTATCTATTGAATGTTATTAAGCTTCAGTCACAACCTGGTTGTTCATTTTTATTAAAGTGAATTTTTCATTACGAAACCAGTATTTCACTGAGCTTTTACAAAGATTGTTTGATAACCAAAATGAAAAGTTTTACAAATATTCTTTATTTTTAGAAATAATCAAATAAGGATATTTGAACATATGCATTGTTTTACCTGATACAGAAATACAGCAAAAACAAGAACAAGAAACTTACTTGTGCATCTGTGTTTATCCTATACATGTCTTCTTTGGCACCAAATGTCCTCTTACAATCATCTAGCCACTAAAAATAAGTAACAGTAACATTTAATATGCACAATGAAATGGGTAATGTAACAGCCCGTCCATATACAACACCAAACTTAAAGCTAACTTGAAGTTCTAGGATTGGTTGCAGACCTAGAATTTTATCCCCATTCAAGCCAAATCATTTACATGGAACTAACAAAAGCAGGGATAGCATTAATATAAGAGGCACACACTTGTGACAGCTATACTGACAAAACCCATTCCATTCTAGGGACCTGTGATGTTCCATTTCAGTAAAGGATATTCTTCATTTTGCAGGTTTTATGAAAATCTTCACAACCTTTGCCTGACCTTTGTGTAACATAAGACAGGGAAATGAAAGATGTGCTTCCCCTCTAGTCAATATAATAAAGGCAACTTAGAATTAAGCAGGTCTGTTGCTTATGAGAAGTATAATTCTCAGAAGACTAGTGTCAGTTTTAAATTTGTGAACTGGCAATCAAGATCCATTTTAAATCTTGTTTTTCTTTTCTTTCTTTTTGGACAGTAATGAATGACAAACATGTTATTTCCAAACAATACTGGATGTAGAAGCCAAATGTGGTTTTTCCTTCTCTGGGGGTATTCCTAATGTTGATATAAAAGTACAGGCTGGGTGTGGTGGCTCCTGCCTGTAATCCCAGAGCTTTGGGAGGCTGAGCGGGGAGGACTGCTTGAGGGCAGGAGTTCAAGACCATCCTGGGCAACATAGGGAGACCCTGTCTCTAAAAAAAATAGTTACAAAAAGGAATACTTTAAAAATAACTTAAAGTACATTTTCTTCAGCAAAATATAAATAAAACAATAGCACGGTGGTATAGTAGAAAAGAACGCTGGACTCTCAGAATTTCCAGGCTGAAGTAAAAGTTAAGTGTGTTCAAGGTAAGCTCCTAGCTTTGGACAGTTTGATATTATCAGTTGTTTTGACTTCTAAGTTCTTTTTTTAAATTATACTATTAAACAATACAACATATATATATAGATATATGAAATCATTAGGACTTTGAGAAACTCAAACTAGCTGCATTAAGCAGCTACTCTGAAAGTATTTTAGTATTCGACATTTAACATTCTCTATTGTAGCTTATATTGTACCCACAAAGAATTAAAATTAGACATTTCAGTTATTTCAAAAATGATCTCTTTGACCTTATTTTCCTTTTATTTCAGTCTCTCAGGTTTCACCGGCCCTTAGGCTATTTGGTTGACAGCATCTCTGAAGGAAAACATGTTAAGCTTTTCTAGTGAGATACAGCTGATGGCAGCCATTGTCAAAAGCTATCAGTGGATTTCTTTGTATTAGTAAAATGCAGTTGACATCTAACATGGAACCTGTGCATTAATCTTTATTCATACAAAATGTTAAAATCTTAATTATCCCTTATCTTGTCCAGTTTGTCCAAATATACTAATAAATTTGAAAATAATTTCAGTTGACTAATGGCTTATTTTTGTACTGTGTACTTAATGATACAGCCTTTTGGGGGGTACTATTCAATATAATTATTGCTGATTTTTATTCTGTTAAAAGACAAACCCCAACCATATAGTCCTGTGGTTGCACAATGGCTTGAGAGATACAGGTCCACACCTTTCCAGCCAGAGCATACAAAACACGCTAGTTTGTGCACAGAGCACCCTCCAGTTCACATCTAATCAGTTTTCCTGTCACGGCATTTTCTTTATTCAAGGTTCAAATGAAGGTTAAAATTTAACTGTCGAGGTTCTACTTCTGGGTGTGATGGAGTAGCCTATATAAGAACAATCCTGCAAGGACAACTATGGAAGCTGAATCCTATCAGCGAAAACTCAAACAGTTAGAGAAAAGTACCGAAGTGAGCCCAATACCCGCCCCAGTGCTTACTCTAGGTGTATTCATATTCACGTCCCTTCGCATAGAGCCTGAACAGAAAGCAGTGGCCTAGAGTTTATGCCCTACAGTTTCACTGGGCTGGGAAAACAGTTTTCAAAGATAGATAGTGAGATATTGAGGGCCAATATCCTGGAGAAAAGAGAACTGCAGAGAAGTGACCCCAATAGTCTCTGTGCAGTTTCCCCTTGGGACATTTGCTGTTCCTGTTTATTATCTGCAGGGGGAGAGGCTACGAAATCACACACTAGCCCCTGGGAGACTGAGAAGGTCGGCAGAGACTGCTGCTCTCTCAGTGCTGGAGAGAGAAAAATCATTCAATTCACTTGTGAGCCTTAGAAGTCTTGAAGAATAATAAAAAGAATGTATAACTCAAAAACGAATAGGAAAATTAAATAGGGCAGACAGTAAATATTTTAGGCTTTGCAAACCATATAGTGTTTGTTGTAACTACTGAACTATTACAGTGCAAACATAGCCATGGACAATATGTAAGTAAACCAGATAGCTGTTTTCTACTAATTTTATTTACAAAACCAGGCAAGTGGGCCAGATATGACTTGATGGCTGTAGTTTGCTAACCTGTGTTCAAGAAGTTTGTATGCACTATTAGTTGTTTGAATTTCCTAAAAATTTTAGAATCAGCCTGTCAATTTCCGTTAATATGCCATCTGAGATTTTGAATGAGACTGCATTAAACCTATAGACCATTTTGGGGGAAAATGACATCTTTACCATAATGAGTCTTCTAATTGATAAACATGGTATATAGTCCTCCATTTAGGTGGTCTTTCATTTTTTTCAATATTTGCAGTTTTCTGTATAGAGGTACAGCATATCTTTAGATATATTTGTAGGTATTTGATATTTTCCTATTATAAATTGTATCTATTGCTTTAAAACCAACCACCCTGAAACTTAATGGCTTCAAACAACCAAAATGAATCTATGTGCTGGCTGGGAGTTTTCTTCTGGCCTTGCCTAGGGTCACTCATGAGTCTATAGTCATTTGATGGCTTGACTGGGGAAGTGGCAGGGTTGAAGTTCCAAGCTGGCTTCACTCATATGTCTTGCACACTGGCTGTCAACTGGAATGCCTCTGTTCTCCCCTACATGGCCTCATCTTCCAGCAGGCTAGAGGTCAAATAGTTTCCCAGAGTTTATCCCAGTTTGCACTCTGACCAGTATGATGGCAAAAGCAGAAGCCACAAAAGACCACTTCAGGACTAGTCTTGGAAGTTACACAGCATTGCTTCTGAACTTGATTGGTTAGAGCAAATCACAAGGCCATCCCAATTTAAGAGATGGTGAAATGGTGGACTCTGTCTCTTCATGGGAAGAACAGGAAAGTCACATTGCAAAGGGGTGTGGCCACAGAGAAGCATGATTCATTGGGACCAGTATTTTAACAATCTACCTTTGCTTCTAGTAGGCAATGATTTCTGAAGATACAAAAACCATAACCATGATGGAAAAGGCCAATAACCTGGACTTATTAAAATTAAAAACTTCTGTTCATCAAAAAATGCTACTAAGATAGCAAAACTGCTAGCCACAGAGAAGGAATAATCTTTGCAATACATATATCCAAAAGAGGATATATCCATTTAGGATAAAAAGCCCCTACAAATCAATAAGAAAAACCCAACCCATTTACAAAAATGAACAACGTACTTGAAGCCACAATTCACAAAATATCTTAAATGAGATCCATTTGAAAAGGAGCTCAAACATTAGTCATCAGGGAAATGCAAAATAGTACCATGAGATACCACCACACACTTCATTTTTCATAGGCCTATACAAGTCATAGATATTTACTACTTATTAATGAAAGACCCATCTCCTAGAAAAATAATTGTCTACTGTATGCAGTTTGTGTGAAAGAGAGAAACTATTTTTTGTTCTTCTGCCCCTCCCAATTGAAAACGTGCTGGATTTACTCTTAGGGAAGGAACAGAGCTACTCTGTTTTCAATGCCAGATTGGACTTGAAGAGGCCTTTCTTAGGAGGTGATTATCTAATGCTTTTTTCTCCCATTGCTTGTCCATGTACATGTACACATCATGGGAAAAAGATCATAGCTTTGTCAGAGGTTGTGGATTTCCTAGACCACAATTCTCTAATGCACTGAGAAATACTGCTTCAATTTCCCCACTTGGAATGTTGACAGCAGCGATATAGTCTCCACAGAGCTTTTTACAAAGCTATGGTTTTCCATTGTGCTGTTAGAGAGCTGATTTTTAAAAGCCAAAGGTAGGAATTCGCTGGATAGAGAGCTCAAAGAACCTGCTGCTCTCAGGAAAACCCTGAGGCAGGTGCCAAGAAGTCTTCTTTTCTGTCTGGGCTATTCTGCTGCCAGGATTACCCTTCCAGTGTCAAGAGCAAACCACTTTTCGCATATGGTAAAAAGAGACTGACCTGCTCAGTGGCTTCTCTTTTGGCATTGTATGTATCCAGGTGTTCTTGCAACTCCAAAACACCAAACTTGAGGGTTTCCAGCAAACCACATGACATCAGCTGTGAAATCAGAAATATTGACCCAGGTTACCATTTCTGATTGAAATCACGAGACTCACAAAATCATGAGACTTTTCAGTTATGGAATACCTATTAGTTGGTTTTTGGATATTCTCTTACTCTACTCTGTCCCCTACTAAGAGCTAAGCTCTCACTGGAACAGAGTAGGAGTGCAGTGGGACTTTAGAAGTCTTAGGAAGGACATCCTCAAGTGTTTTCAAAGACGTCAGGCAAGACCAGTACATACCTCAACCTTGAAGATTTTTAAACCTTAGTTCTTTAAATACCTTAATATATAATCTAGAAGTGTGCTTGGAAATAAATCAGGAAATGAACCAGGAGGCCTGAGTATTTCACGGGGGGAGGTTTAGGTATCTCCTACGCATTTTTATTTAAGAATAAAAAAATTACCCATCTCTAGAGCATGACTTTTTAGCTTTCCCATCTAGGACTCTGTGGAGGGTAAGGGCAGGAAGGAGTCAGAATCAGAAATAGTCACAAGTTGCTGCATCTAATATACCAGAATTGTACTTTGTCAAATATTTATAATCCTGTTGAAAATCTGAACCTTTATACCATAAAATTCAGAATTACTTAGAAAAAAAAGACTTACTGACTGATGCCATTCAAATGTAGTCTTTATAATAAATGTGCATGTAAAAACTTACTGTTTCAGCATCCACAAAGACTGTTGGGCATTCTGAACATATTATCATCACTTCCAAGGAGCTTTTAAATTTGGTACCAATGCGTTGCAGACTCTCACCAAGAAAGCTGACTGCCTCATTAGTTATTTCTCCAAACTTTCTTTGAATTGTCTATGGGGAAAAGCAAAAGAGTTTGGTGTTTCATAAGAAAGCCTTTTTTTACCTTTAAAAGTAAAGAAGCATAATAGGGTAGACTTTTATTTTAAAATTATAATGATATATAGAATTTTAACCATTGATCTGTAAATCCATATTTTTAGGTATTTCCTTAGGAAACATATTAATTTCTAAAAAGAAACAAAAATTTACAAAATAATATTACTGAAAAAATTAATGCTATATGCCAGTCATCTCCCTATTCCTGAGATTTTTTTCATCAGAGGCAGACAGACGGATGCATGCTGTACATTCTTAGCAATCAAAGTCCTTGCCTGTCTTGAGGAAGTTGTTCATCAAAAGTTATTACCTGAAAGAAACTTTCAGTAAATGTAGTTTACTATTCTTGACTATGGGCTGCCATCTGGCTTAACTTTAGGTAAAGTCATAAAAAATGTATTAAGAGTAATATTTTCTCCGAGTCCAAGAATATTCATTTCCATAAAACAGACAATGCCTGACTCACAGTAAGTCAATCAATTAGACTACATTATCAGTAGTATCAATAGTTAAAGTATACCTACTTATATATGTGTTGCACTGTTAGGTGGCATTATGATTAAAATAAAAAGCATAAATCCACACTTTCAGCCATCATGAAACTTACAACATCAGTAAGAATATGAGTAGAAAAACCAAGTAGTGATGCAGTAAGTACAGAATTAAATAAGCGCTCCCATTAATGAGCGCTAAAGAACTTCCAGGAGAGAGAGACTGGAGGTTGGAGTGGTTGGGAAAGCTTTGGTAAGAAAATGTATTTAGCTGAGTCTTCCAAGATGGGCAAAATTTGGGAGGAGAAAAGGGAGGAAAGGTAGTAGATAGTTCAGAGGATATAACTTAAATGGTGGCATTTTTCTGTACCTTAGTTTCCCTCTCCACTGAGTGCTAAAAATCAAATCTACATTCCATAGTTGTGGTGTGAGAACACTTACTATAAAGCCATTTAGCACAGTGCCTAGCATGTAGTGGGTAGTCAATAAATTTTAGCTTATATTATCGTTATTGTTGGGGAGGAAGCAACCTTAACAGCTAAAACTTTTAAGGTCCTCACAGAGTCATAAAAGTGTCCATTACTTTAACCCTTGATTATAAATTGATTTATGATATATTAACTGTAAGCTCCCTGAAGGCAGAGCTTAGGCCTTTATTTCTTTGGTATCCTGATAGTGCCTAAGCATACTGCAGAAAACATATCAGATGTTGTTTTGAAGTTTTATTCTAATTGCCTTAAGGGAGAAATCTGTACCAGTCATTGTGTAATGTACCAGCAGTACCACAATGTCACAGTGTCAATGTAAGTAATACTACTAGCTTAGAAAAAAAAAATTATTAAAGAAAACTGGTAGAAATATTAAAATTGGAGATGCTGATTTTAGAAGAAAAACTGTAACTTGAATAGGTAACTATAATATAAATTCAGAAACCCTGAACCTCACTGACCTGAAAAAGCCTAGAAAACACATGAAAAGTAAACACTGCAGAGGACCCGTCAGTGTCAGACAGCATCTGATTGACGTGGCAGCGCCAGGCTTCCTCTTCATCATCATATGCCACGGGCTGAAAGGCGGCTATGATGGCAGAAAGAAATGGTGATGGCAGAGGCGATGTCTGTACTTCTGGAAAACCATCTTGCTCTTCTTCGTCTTGACTGTTAACACAGATATCACAAATATCATAACACTATCTCAGAAAAAAAGAATAGGCTCAATCACGTAAGACAGCTTAAGTCATTTGACAGGTTATTTTTATTCATATATACACACTGATTTAGAAAATGTACAACCACCTAAATCTTGTAAGAAAGTGTGAATAAGTGAATTCCTGTTCTTTCTAGTTAGCATTTTTAGAATTAGAACTCTAATTTCAAGCAACTACCTTAAAATAACCCAAGTCCTATAATGTGCCACCACTATGGATTAATTTTAGTAACTTCTATGAATAATACCAATGAGAATGTTTTCATTTTCAGTGGTCAATTTTGGAGGCTTTTATTTGAACAGCCTCACATTGGTGATAATATTTTTAAAGTTTTGATCATGATCTTTTGTGTTAAGGGCTATGTTAGGTGCCTTATATGGATAATTTCATTCAGTCTTTGCAACTACATGAGGATTAGGTTCTATTATTATCTTGATTTTAAAGATGAAACAAAAAGTTCAGTAAGGTTAAATAATATGTCTAGTTACTGGGTAAGAAATGACAGGGCCAGAATTTGAACCCAGGACTATGGGTCCAATTGCTATTAGCCAGGAAACACATAGCTAGCTCAGTTATTTCATAAGCACATACTATGTTCCTAGCAATATGGCCAATAATAGATTGGAATCCAAAGAAACATAAGACCTGGCCATTTCCTTCAAATAATTTATAATCCCAAAAGTCAGATTATACAAACCAAAACGGAACAATGGAAAAAGATGAAGATATATTTGGGTTGGACATTCTACAACTCTCGGCCATAAATATGAAGAAATATTTGAGTCTGACACTCCATAAAAAAGATATGTGTTATTCAAGGTCTTAAGATTGAATGTTTCGCATTACAAGCTGGTTCTATAAGGCTTTATCGAAATTTTGGAGCAATGCATATGGAAGAGAGGGACCCAAGTAAAGACTGGAGAAAACCATCAAAATAAAGCAGACATCTGAAGTGAAAACAAATGAGACCTCAAAAAGGTTAATTTTAAAACTGTCACTGTGGTGACTGATTTTAACACATATACTATAAGCTAGAGTAGATAACCTGTTTGCTTAGTAGGAATGCTCCATTCTATTTCAGCTGCAGTAGTTGGCCAAAGTTGACTGTTTGGCTTCAGCCTTTTAGAAAGCCAACTAGCTGAATAGCATCGTTTCTGGCATTCCTGAACTTGTGCATGATTAATGATTGAATGGTTGCATGGGATACTGCCATATTCAAATCAGTAATATGAAAAAGGTGTATCACTAAGATTTATTGTTAATATCTGATTATATATTTTCAAATATAGGTAAGTATTCTTGATATGTTGACGGTAAAAAAAAATCTCCAATGTGTTGTATATGTTAAAACTCTATTATCACATGAAGTATAAAGGTGTAATTTTTATTGTAAAAGTAAAATTCTGAAATACTTGCTGATTATTAAATATTAATTTTATATAAAAACAGTTATCCAGGAGCTCAAATTGTTGAATGGGGAAATAGATACACGCACAGAGTGCATGAAGTTAGATACCTTTATAAAAAACATAATATTGAACCACAAATATTTATGAAATTTAAATAGTGGATATTCTAATTCTATGTGTTACAGAATTATTTGGTATATGAGTTTCATAACAGCCACCAAAATTTCCCTTAAAAACTATAAATAACTGATTATTCAAGTTAGTCCATGAGTAAAGAAAAAGTTCCATTTGAGAATTCTTCATACTTTTTGGTAATACGTTTTTAATGTATGGAGCATAAACATTTAAAAGGAGCAATCTAGCATCTGAGAAATAATCACTTCTGCCTATAATAGAAATAAAACTTAAAAAATATGACCACTGATCATGAAACTGTAAAAACAACTTTTTGGATGTATTTTAGATTTAAATTCTCGTATCACAGAAGTTCATTCCAATATTGATTTTAACATTTGGCCATCTAGCATGCCAAAATAGATATTTGGTGTGCTTCTAAATGTGGAATACCACTTACTATGCTTTGAAAATGGCCTAATTGTTTTTCTTTATGGGAATGTCCATAATCGAAGAAATATCCCATTAGAGTAAGGCATTCTATCTTTAAAAATGAAGATAGTATGATTCTAGACTAAAACACACAAAGTATGATTACAGACTGAAACGCACAAAGAAATGAAAGTAAGTAAACTGGAATACAGGGGCACTCTTTGGAAGGAATGGGGGAGAGATTATCACCTCACTATGGTGTTTATGATACTGTATTCTCACCTAGACAGTCCGGAGAAATCTGCTTCTTCTTCTTCACATCTTTCATCTAGCTCTTTCAGAGCTAAGGTAACATCCTCTTCGCAGATTGACTCAGGGTAGCTTTCAGGAGCTAGAGGCTCCGGTATTTCAGTTTCTTCTAAATCAAGAATTCCTTGACACACAAGAGAATCCTGCTGTTCTTGAATTATATAGGACCCTTCATCTTCAAAGGTTGTAACATGTTCTTCCTTTAATACTGAACTTGTATCCTACAAAACAATCATATTTTTAGTGAACTATAAAAACATAAAAAAGAATTTTACAACACAATAAATAAGTATTGCCATCCATCTAAGTCTGTTTTATTAAGTGGTGTTCATTTATACAGTCTAACTATACGTATAAATACATATATGTATATGTATTTTTTTGAAACAGAGTCTTGCTCTGTCACTCCCGCTGGAGTGCAATGGCGTGATCTCGGCTCACTGCAATCTCTGCCTCTCAGGTTCAAGCGATTCTCCTGCCTCAGCCACCCAAGCAGTAAGGACTACAGGCACATGACACCACACCCAGCTAATTTTGTTTTTTGTATTTTTTAGTAGAGATAGGGTTTCACCATGTTAGCCAGGACGGTCTCGATCTCTTCACCTCGTGATTTGCCCGCCTTGGCCTCCCAAAGTGCTGGGATTACAGGTGTGACCCACTGTACCCAGCCACTTTTACAGTTTTTGAACCAGTTATAAACTTTTTTAACGGTCATAGGTTTAAAATATTTTGAAATTAAAATATATCACCTATTATTGTATAGAAATATTGAAGACTTTTTCTTTTCTCTTCAGTAATAGGATTTAGGTGTTTACTTAGAAATACACGCTTTGGTCCAAGATGGCCAAATAGGAACAGCTCCAGGCTACAGCTCCCAACGTGAGTGACACAGAAGATGGGTGATTTCTGCATTTCCAACTGAGGTACCGGGTTCATCTCACTGGGGTGTGTTGGACAGTGGGTGCAGGACAGTGGATACAGCCCGCCAAGTGAGAGCCAAAGCAGGGCGAGGCATTGCCTCACCCAGGAAGCACAAGGGGTAAGGGAATTCCCTTTCCCAGCCAAGGGAAACCATGATACACAGCACCTGGAAAATTGGGTCACTCCCACCCTAATACTGCACTCTTCCAAGGGACTTAGCAAACGGCACACCAGGAGATTATATCCCGTGCCTGGCTCAGAAGGTCCCATGCCCATGGGGCCTCCCTCAGTGCTAGTACAGCAGTCTGAGATCTAACTGCAAGGTGGCAGCGGGGCTGGGGGAGGGGCGCCCACCATTGCTGAGGCTTGAGTAGGTAAACAAAGCAGCCTCCAAGCTCAAATGGGTGGAGCCCACTGCAGCTCAAGGAGGCCTGCCTGCCTCTGTAGACTCCACCTCTGTGGACAGGGCATACGCAAACAAAATGCAGCAGAAATCTCTGCAGATTTAAATGTCCCTGTCTGACAGCTTTGAAGAGAGTAGTGTTCTCCCAGCATGGAGTTTGAGATCTGAGAATGGACAGACTGACTCCTCAAGTGGGTCCCTGACCCCCGAGTAGCCTAACCAGGAGGCACCCCCTAGTAGGCGCAGACTGACACCTCACACGGCCAGGTACCCCTCTGAGATGAAGCTTTCAGAGGAACGATCAGGCAGCAACATTTGCTGTTCAGTAATATTCACTATTCTGCAGTCTCCCCTGCTGGATACCCAGGCAAACAGGGTCTGGAGTGGACCTCCAGCAAACTCCAACAGACCTGCAGCTGAGGGTCCTGACTGTTAGAAGGAAAACTAACAAACAGAAAGGACATCCACACCAAAACCCCATCTGTACGTCACCATCATCAAAGACCAAAGGTAGATAAAACCACAAAGATGGGAAAAAAACAGAGCAGAAAAGCTGAAAATTCTAAAAATCAGAGCACCTCTCTCCCTCCAAAGGAACACAGCTCCTCCCCGGCAACGGAACAAAGCTGGATGGAGAATGACTTTGACGAGTTGAGAGAAGAAGGCTTCAGATGATCAAACTTCTCCGAGGTAAAGAAGGAAGTTCGAACCCATCACAAAGAAGCTAAAAACCTTGAAAAAAGATTAGACGAATGGCTAACTAGAATAACCAATGTAAAGAAGTCCTTAAATGACCTGATAAGAGCTGAAAACCATGGCACAAGAACTATGTGACAAATGCACAAGCTTCAGTAACCGACACGATCAACTGGAAGAAAGGGTATCAGCGATTGAAGATCAAATGAATGAAATGAAGCGAGAAGTGTAGAGGAAAAAGAGTAAAAAGAAATGAACAAAGCCTTCAAGAAATATGGGACCATGTGAAAAGACCAAATCTACGTCTGACTGGTGTGCCTGAAAGTGACGGGGAAAATGGAACCAAGTTGGAAAACACTCTGCAAGATATCATCCAGGAGAACTTCCCCAACCTAGTAAGGCAGGCCAACATTCAAATTCAGGAAATACAGAGAACGCCACAAAGATAATCCTCGAGAAGAGCAACTCCAAGACACATAATTGTCAGATTCGCCAAAGTTGAAATGAAGGAAAAAATCTTAAGGGCAGCCAGAGAGAAAGGTCGGGTTACACACAAAGGGAAGCCCATCAGACTAACAGCAGATTTCTCGGCAGAAACTCTCCAAGCCAGAAGAGAGTGGGGGGTCAATATTCAACATTGTTAAAGAAAAGAATTTTCACCCAGAATATCATATCCAGCCAAACTAAGTTTCACAAGTGAAGGAGAAATAAAATCCTTTACAGACAAGCAAATGCTTAGAGATTTTGTCACCACCAGGCCTGCCCTACAAGAGATCCTGAAGGAAGCACTGAACATG